TTCCAAACCATACTTTTCCTATGTCCTATCTAAATCTATACTATCATAATTTAAATCCATTACTGGCCGGGTTCTCTCTTGGAGAGCAATCCTCAAGACCTTATTAATATCCCCTTTATTAATACCTATCTTTCCCACTATAACACTCGATCAGGTCCTCCCCTCATTCTTCTCCTAACAAGTGAAATGTAACTTAAGAGGTCTTCAAACTTCTTCAAAGGTCAGATTTCTGAGCTATGTATTATTTAGTCATCCTAACTCTGAAGTGTTTCTAGACAATTTAGTCCATTTTGAATACGAGACCAGAACTGAGCTGCATAATTCAAGGTAGGCCTTTACTTATGATGTTATAAAGCTGTCAGTATGACCTCGGACTTCTGTTGCTTACACTTCTTGATATAAAACCCAGTAACTATTTGGCCTTATTACGTACGCTTAGGCATTGCTGTCTTGGTTTAAGGTTGCTGCTCACCATAACCCCCAAGTCCTTTTCGCAATCTGTATGGCTAAGTTCTACATCATTTAATTTATAAGTACTAGGGTTATGGGCACTCCCAAGCTTCAGAACCTTGCACTTATCTACATTGAACTGCATCTGCCACTTTTCTGACCAAGAATATTTTATACCTTTCTTGCACAACGTGTCTTACCTACCAACCTGTCGGTATTGTATGCCATTTTGATGTTCAGCAGGTCATGGTGTCCTCATTTGAAGATGTGTAGGTCAGGTTGTCTGTCCAAGTTGGTGTGAACTGGTGCAAGACTCCCAAAAACCTCTTCCTCCTCTTCTGAAAGAGGATTCAGAGGCCAAGTCTACGATGGTGCTGGCAGGAGACTGTGGGACGACAGTAGTGGAGGGGTGTATTGGTGATGTGTCAACAGGCTGGGAGATGTGGGAGGTGGTGGTGGTTGAGGCAGAATAATTAGCGTTGTCGGCAGTGGAAGTGGTTGTAGAAGCTTCAGGAACAGTTGCTTATGCAAAAGACAGGTCAACAGGTGTAGCAAGTTCACAACGTTGGGAAGAATCTTGATGTCGGTTGAAGGTGCGGAGTCCGGAAATTGATGGCAGGCATGTTGTTTAGCCGAGAGATCTCGTTTATAATTAAACGGAAAGTACCAGGGTTCCCTGCATTTGCGATGTGCGCATACACCATACTGTATAGCACCTTGCAGGGAGCACCATCAGGAAATGGAGAGATTGAGTTACTGGATGGAGGAGCCTGTCGTGTGGCCTGGAGAATCTTTGTTATCACAGTTTAAGTAGGTGATTTAACGGTAGTCTTTTGCAGGTCTTCTTTGATCTTCTTGGACATAATTTTCTTATAGGACATTTAGCTGCAAGAATATGATGGTCACTCTTGCAGTTAAGGCAAGTAGGAGCCAGTAGTGGTGGTACAGGATTTGTAGTCGTGGCTGTCTTTCCCGCAAGAAGAGCAGATCTTGAACATTAAAATGGTATAAAATACCGACAAGTTATTAGGTAAGACACATATGCAACAGTTAGGTATCTTTATTTCGAAGCGTTTCGCCAACACAGTAGGCTTCTTCGTCCGAGTACAGAAAAGTTGATAGAAGCAGAAGATACTTGAAAACGATGTAATCAGTCCATCACCCTTAAAGTTTTGAGGTAGTCAGTCCCTCAGCCTGGAGAAGAGCAATTGTTCCCATATATGAAAACAATAGGATATGTTTCATACTAATGGAACAATGCTCTTCTCCAGACTGAGGGACTGACCACCTCCAACTTTAAGGGTGATGGACTGATTACATCGTCTTCAAGTCTCTTCTGCTCTATCAACTTTTCTGTACTCGACTAAGAAGCCTACGTGTAGCGAAACCTTCGAAATAAAGATACCTATTGTTGCATATGTATGTCTTACCTAACAAGAGCAGATCTTCTTGTCCTTGATTGACATCCTGGGGGGGGGGGCGGAGTTGGTACAATATCAGGTTCAGCAGGAGAGATATTGTTTAAACTGCTCAGGGTCGATGTGGCGATGGGTGATGAAGAGTAATGAAATGGCCAGTCATCAGATAGAGCTAGACAGCTATCTTAAGCGATAGAAAGGCGTTGGAATCTCGTAATCATGTCCACCGGAGGTCCTAGACATTTTTGTTCCAGGATGGATGACTTGAGTTCTCTCTCGTTAGAGAGGAAGCAGTAATGATCCTGTTTACAATCGTTTCACGAAGACAGAACGTTTCGCCCTCAAATAAGTAGAATGGGGATAAAAAGGCCACAATCGTTCACAGTCTTGATAGCATAGTAGTTGGATTTTTTTTCGGCTTCCCTCGTCGTTGGTGCGGCGACTAGGAAAGGCGTTTTTGCAGGGTCAAATGCCGAGAATATGACCTTATTCTGCTTTAAGCCGCTGCAAGTGCAAGCTTCGAGCATCATTAACCGTAGAACTTGTAAATTTATATCTCATACGATGAGACAATCTTGGTAAAGCAGTGTCACGTGAGGAATGTAAAAAATCCGCTTCCCAACAGGGTTCGAAAAGGCAGGCTTCTTGAGATTAGAGTGACCTGTCTTGCCAGTAGCAAGGTCAGCAACAGGAAATGACGCCTTGTATCCTCAGATACAACCAAACAACACATCTCGGCGTTACTTACAGCCAAGACAGGGCTCGCAGCAATGTTTCAAGTTGGAAAAAATCAGATTCAGGGAGGATGTAGGAAAGTTACTACTTACTGTTTTGGTAATAGAGATGTGGATGAGTGGAACAAACTCCCGAGTACCGTTATTGAGGGCCAAAACGTTGTGTAGTTTTAAAAATAGGTTAGATAAATACATTAGTGGGTGGGGGTGTGTTGAGTTGGACCAGACTAGCTTGTGCTGCTGGTCTGGGTACAGTGCTCTCATTCCTTGAGTGGGGAAGACCAGAACGGGTGGGTCATTGGGATAATCCACGGGGGGTCATGGTCTAATTAATCCGGGGGGGGACATGGACCTGCTCCCACATGGGTCAGTAGGCCTGTTGCAGTGTTTCCTTCTTTCTTATGTTCTTATTCCGTCTCAGATCTAACCTACCAGTCTCCACCTCTCTCCATCCTATAAATACTCATGTACTATTCACCCAGGTAGATCTGTTTGCGACTTGAATAACGCCCAATGAGTTTGGTGGGGCGCAGACGTTGTCCAATAAAGGATCGCATTATACTGCGTTTGTATTTGTCTCCTTTAGTAAACCCAGTTCTGACTTCCCATGTTGCTTTGACTATGAATACGGGCTTCCTCCGCATACAATGCGTCGATTTTCGGATCGTATACATGACTCAGGACGGCCCGGCTTTAACCTTCTGTTCAAACAACCTCGACCTGTCACTGATGACCCAGCCTCAGTTTCCTCTTACCTTCTAAGAAAACTTAAAATTAAGCAATTCCCCCCATATACTCAATCTTTCAAAGTACCTCCTTGACAAAATTCTTTACACTTCAACCAACTTCTACTGTCTGTGTTTTCTACCATTTGTGCCATGCTGGCAAACATTACTTCCATAAATAACAAAATAAGGCACAGTGCCTTGACTGGAACAATACACAAATAACCCGCACGTAGAAGAGAGGAGCATACGACGAAAAGTGTTCTTGTCTCCCTCTTTCTCCGTGCTCTCCGCATTTGTGATCCTCAGAGCCTTGAATCAGAAATTTCCACTCTTCATAATTCATTTTCCCTTCTAGGCTAACCTTCCCATTTCATAGACTCTGCCTTCTCAAGTGCTGAACGAACTTTCTTCTCTCCCAAACTCTCTACTCGTGTGAACTCTCCTGTCCTCTGCCTTCCCTACATTTTTGGTCTTTCTAATCTCAACAATTCTCTCCATTCCTTAGACATCAAACTTACTTTTCGCCAGACTAACACTCTTTGCACCAATCTAGTTTATACCTCTCCTCCCTCTATAGATGTTCCAGGTGTCTACTCTTTTTCTTTTCTCCTGTCCTCTTCAGTACCTTGGAGAAACTGGCCAATCTCTTTCTGACAGACTTAGGGAGCACAAAAGTAATGTTAGGGTTGCTGATACCAACAATGCTCTTTTCTGTCATGTCAGAGATCACAGTCATCCTATTGACTGGTCTTCTGCTAAAACTGTCTTCCCTACTTCCAACTTTCACAGTCGCCATCTAGTTGAATCCCTTATACACAACTTTCCTTGTTTGAATCTTAGTTGTGGCTTTGTCTCTGTAGATGCATTCCTCTCCCACTACATTGTACAATGCTCCGAACTTCAGAACACCCGTGACTTAACCTAATAATTTTTCCCCTTCTCACTCTTACCTTTTCCTCTTTGTCCTTGGGGTTTTCTTTCTTCTGCCTTGGGTATTTGTCCTTTCATCATTCCCCCCATCCTCTGTGTTCTTGCTCCTACCCTCTGTTGGCTCCTAGCTCCCTTGCAGTGCTCTTCTTTCTTAGTATTTGACTGACTACTACTGGTACTACTACTAGTACAACTGCTAGTACTACTACTAGTACTACTACTAGTCCTACTACTAGTACTACAACTAGTACTACTGCTAGTACTACTAGTACTACTACTAGTACTACCTCTCTTGCTCCAGTCATTGTCTGCTGGCCTATATATACTCCCTCCTTCTCTCTAATAAGACCCCATTCAGTTACAAAATGTAGCTAGAATTGTAATACCACGACTGTAAACAGTATGGATGGGGTTTGAACTGGCTTGGTGTTTTACGACTCACTTGCCATGAGCTCTAACCTCACCCGTACCATTATTTTATAGTTAGAATTCACACTAATTACTCTACAACGCATCATATTGGAATTAATCCCTAGACCTTCATTAAAATTATGGAGAGAAGCTGTCACAAACCCAAGCACGAACAAACAATTTTACCAAAAGCCTTAAAACACATTCGTGTTTCCCATATGTAGCAATTATTTATTTATTATACACGTATTAATATCTCAAATTATTAAATATGCTAGAATTAATTTTAAGACATTTAATTCTTAATTCTTTTTTTTTATTATTTGCAGCCACTGCCCAGCCCTTCGTACTGTACTTTAAAACAGACGGGGATGAGTTGCTTGATAACTCTAACCGAGGCTTCAGCCTCAACTACCGACAGATTATAAGCTGCGTGTAATGACCTGCTAACAAATACCACTAGCACCAGCAGAAGCAGCAACAACAGCAGTTGTAGTCGACGTCGTCACCAAGACTACAACCTGGATGCTGAAAGACTCTAGAAATCTATCACTTGATAATGCTGAACAAAAAAGACTGGTTGTGGAACACGCTGTCACTGGGACTACGTTTTACTCAGTGTAGATTTTGACTCAATACCCAGTATTATGCCTACATTAATGGTATATAATACTCACAGGTTCATGAATAAGACCCAAGTGTAATACCTGGGTACATTATTGACGTGCCGTTTCACGGAAAATATGCTTTCTCAGACTAATCAAGTGGTATGTGACAGTAATATCCTTATATTACTTATAAATAATACCGACCAGTAGTAAAATGTGCAATGCCCGGGTTTTATTATTAAAAAAATCGTCAACTACATGATTTTTAATTCAATACATAGTTTATGAACCAGAGACAGTTGAAGATGAGGTAATCAGTCCCTCAGCCTTGATAAAAAGTGTCCAGTATCGTAGTCTGCAACAAGCTAACACAGAGGAGGGAGAAATGCTAACATTCCAAAGCTCCTGATTACGCACGAAGGCGTTTGAGATTTCTTGAGCTGAAGGCTTCCACTTAACATGGCTGGCTTGTCTTGTGTTGGTAAGATCGCCTGTTTGCGACTGTTGCAAATATATGTATGTCGTGTGGAAATTATTTAATTTCCGAAGCTATAGTGCCTAATAAGTGTTTAATGTGTTTACTTGGGTCAAAATGTATTTGTATTTTGAATGGAACCAACTGGGTTCCCACTGCGCCTGCGCAGATGTGTGGGGGTATAGGTCGAGCTGGGGCACAGGGAGGCGGGAGTGTTTTGAAGGTAGTGAGGAGGCTGTGAAAACCTGGGATCAGGAAATTGGCGTTCACGGCGGCCTAAGGATTAATATGGGCTTCACTTCATAATAGGAAGTGTCGTAACTGTTCCTGGTGAAGAGTGAGGGAACGTGATTTACGGGACCACCGTAAAAAGGTGGTAAAATTAGTGAATAATGGTTCGACCGGGTGTGACTGGTGCGCGGCCATGGTGTGTGTCCAGGGGAAATACCCGTGTGTTAATCCTCACTCATCGGCCTCAGATCTTAATGGAGTGACCTCTAATGTGTATAATAATTATGAGACGTTAAATCGTCTTGTGAATGGTAATGTAATCAGTGATAATAACATTAAGTTAAGAGAGTGCGGGATGTGAAATAGATCGCCCTGCTCCGAGTGAACGCGTGATATCCGTACCGAGGATACCTGGAGTTTACCTGGAGAGAGTTCCGGGGGTCAACGCCCCCGCGGCCCGGTCTGTGACCAGGCCTCCTGGTGGATCAGAGCCTGATCAACCAGGCTGTTGCTGCTGGCTGCACGCAAACCAACGTACGAGCCACAGCCCGGCTGATCAGGAACTGACTTTAGATGCTTGTCCAGTGCCAGCTTGAAGACTGCCAGGGGTCTGTTGGTAATCCCCCTTATGTGTGCTGGGAGGCAGTTGAACAGTCTCGGGCCCCTGACACTTATTGTATGGTCTCTTAACGTGCTAGTGACACCCCTGCTTTTCATTGGGGGGATGGTGCATCGTCTGCCAAGTCTTTTGCTTTTTGTAGTGAGTGATTTTCGTGTGCAAGTTCGGTACTAGTCCCTCTAGGATTTTCCAGGTGTATATAATCATGTATCTCTCCCTCCTGCGTTCCAGGGAATACAGGTTTAGGAACCTCAAGCGCTCCCAATAATTGAGGTGTTTTATCTCGTTATGCGCGCCGTGAAAGTTCTCTGTACATTTTCTAGGCCGGCAATTTCACCTGCCTTGAAAGGTGCTGTTAGTGTGCAGCAATATTCCAGCCTAGATAGAACAAGTGACCTGAAGAGTGTCATCATGGGCTTGACCTCCCTAGTGAAGCTTTATGGAATCACGACTTCTAAACCGGGACAAACCGACGGATACCTCGTCCTGCTGGAATAAGAACCGTGTCGGTGTAGCAGGACATCAAAATGAGATGGTGAATGGAGGGAATAAGGAGTATCAATCACCCACAGTTAAGTAACCCTTCTAGCTATAGCAGACTGATACTGGCCAGTTAGGTATGTTGTAATTGGATAGGTTATGGGTGATCCAGCTACATAAGTGACCACCAGAGAATATCTGGTAAGTGGTGAGATTATGTACAAGTGTTTTCCTTGATGGATATATCCATGTGTAACCTACCCCACCCACCTTCATTCAGTTAAACTAATATAATCTATACAGTCCACAATTAATTAGTAGCACCGTACTTGTGGGTGCTATCCAATCTATACTGGTCTCGGATAGATATGGATAAGATTGTGAGGTCGAAGGAACCACTTGCCGTGACCAGGGGTGGTTAAGTTTTCTCACATGTCTACACGGGGTGACTACGGTAAACAATATGGTTGTCTCCCAATGAGTTTACTTGAAAGCATGTAATGTTGAGGTACATAAAGGTAATCACCCTATAAAATTTTCCATATCTGCCCGCTGGTCCTTCCTGAACCGGATGCAATCAGTAAAAAATTAATTGAATTAATTACTTAATAATTAAGTGACTGATTGAAGGAAGTGGGTATAGGGTACACAAATTTAATCGGTCGTGTGGTGGAGGATAATTAGCCCAATTAATTACTAGCACATGGGTGGCTAGGATTTATACAAGAGTAAAGTGCAAGAATTACTCTCACAAGGTGTCTACTTAAGTTGTATAATTTGTGATTATTAATTCCCTAACCATGGCTGGGTCTGAGGAAGTTAGTGCGGCTGGCAAGTCCATGGATGCCAAAGCAAAGAAAGCGTCACTACAAGCTCGGAAGGGTCATGTTACTAAATCATACAACAAGTGTATGGACTTAATGAGACAAGAAACGGTAAACCCTGATGAATTAAAGCTACACCTAGATGCCTTAGAAAGTAGATATGAGTCATATAGATTGTGGTATAAGGACTGTGAGAGCGATCTTCTGGTGAATTGTGCAGATGATGCTGAAAGGGAGCGGCTGCTGGATCAATATTATGAAGTGGAGGACAACATTGTGTCCTGCAAAACTAAGGCTTTAGAGAAGGTAAAGGGTGTAAACAATGTTGTTGGTCAATCTAGTAAGGAAAATCAGAGGTGTCTACCAAAACTCCCAGAATTATGCATGCCTGTGTTTAATCTGGGAGAAAACTGGGAGGAGTTTTGGTCTATCTTTAAAGCAGTCGTACATGATAGGAGTGATCTTGCAAGTGTTGCCAAATTATGCTATTTAAAGGGACAAGTAAGGGGAGATGCGCATGTTCTCATACAAGCGTTCCCAAATGTAGATGACTCCTACAGTGAGGCAGTTGACTTGTTGGAGGTCACTTACGGTAACTTAGAGCAAAGTAGGTTGGATCTAGTAGCTAATTTGGCTAGTTTGAAGACTCCAGATCACAACCGCAACAGCTTACAGCAATTTAGGATCAAACTGGAAAGCACTCTTAAGACCTTGAGTAATAAATATGATCTGGAGGGAGCAGAGTGGTTGTTGAGCGCTTTGATTCAGAATAAATTGAACCACAAGACAGTAGAGTGGCTTTCTAACAGATATCACAAGGGTTACTTCGGGTTGGAAGAAATAAGAGTGGGCCTGCAGGAGCTAATTGTCCAACTGCAGACCAGCCAACCCATTACCTCTAGGAATACCACGTCTACAGACCCCAGTGCACCTGTCAAGTTCCACAAAAGGAAACTTTATCCCAATATCAATAAACATAAGTCACCTACTAAACGGGGTTACGTAGGCACATATCAAGTGACAGGGTCCAGTAATAGTGGTTCTCCACATCAAAGCAAGAGGAGGAAGTACCACAATAAGGGTAGCCCAGTTGATAAGAGGTCAGGCAAAGAAAGGAGAGATTGTATCTTCTGCAACGGTACTCATTTCTCTAAGAACTGTAATACCTATAATTCATGGGATGTTAAAGTGGAAAGATTGGAAGAGCTTGCTAGATGTATCAGGTGTCTAGGAAATCATAATGTAAGGGATTGCCTTGCTAACTTGCACTATTGTTATCAGTGTAACAAGGGAAGACACCACATAGCTATGTGTAAGGGCGGATCCAATCGTAATGATGGTAACAATAGTACTGATAGTGATAATAACCCGGACACAACAGTAGCCAACGTAAAGATTGCAGCTAATGTCGGTAATGATGGCCTAGCTGAGGTAGCTTTACCTGTGTTGGATGTGGTGATTAATGATAAACGGCGTAAATCCAAAACTGTAACAGCATTACTGGATCAGGGATCACAACGTACCTTCATAAAACGTAATTGCCTTAATGGGATGAAGGTACAAATGGGAGATCCCGCTATACTCAAGTTATCTGGCTTTCTCTCGAATAAGAAGGCCCAGTCATACGACACTGTTTATGTAACTGTCAGGCTGGGCAATGAGAGAAAACGTATTAATGCCGTAATTGTGGATAGGCTCCCAGAGAAAATATCTACAATAGGGCTTGGTAGCGCTGCTGAAAGGCTTTCAAGTAAGGTAAATTTGGCACCTTCTGGTATAAATAATGATTCTGTGGGGCCAATAGATATTTTGATAGGTAGTGACCATTATGCCACCTTTGTAAAGGGTATGACAAAGAAATGCGGAGTCACCCTTCTAAGGACCGCAGGAGGTCACGTGATGTATGGCAGGCTTCCTCGTACTGATAATGAATGACTGGAGGAAGCCATAAATACAGTTACGGTGTGTCTTACTCATGAAGTATCACCCCAGTATAAATATACTTCAATAGAGGATGAAGTTGAACCTGTGTATAAATTATGGAAATTGGACAGCATAGGGATCAATGTAAATGAAGAAAGTCCAGATGATTCCTTTACTAAAGAACAATACCAGAAGGATGTTAAATTTGAATCTGGACAATACTGGGTGAGACTTCCGTGGAAGCTGAACCATCCAGACCTACCAACTAATTACCGGATGGCGTATGGACAATTAATGATGGTAGTGTAGTTCACTTATCGTAGTGTAGTTTATTGTTGGTAATGTAGTTTATAATGGTAATGTAGTTTAGTGATTGTAGTGTAGTTTAATGATGGTAGTGTAGTTTACTGATGATAGTGTAGTTTAGTGATTGTAGTGTAGTTTAGTGTTGGCAATGTAGTTTATTATGGTAGTGTAGTTTAGTGATGGTAGTGTAGTTTAGTGAAGGCAGTGTACTTTAGTGATGGTAGTGTAGTATAATGATGGCAGTGTAATATAGAGACATAAGTGTACTTTAGTGATGGTAGTCTAGTTTAGTGATGTTAGTGTAATTTACTGATTGTAGTGTAGTTTAGTGATTGTAGTGTAGTTTAGTGGTGATAATGTAGTTTATGATGGTAGTGTGCTTTAGTGATG